AACCGGTACCCACTCCTCCATGGTAGCTAGCGCCCTCACCATTGCATTCACATGGCTGCCCATCTGTGCCTCCATTTCGAACTTGTGACGAATCTTTCCCCTCACTACTGATGCCACTTGACCATCCACACCATTATATCCACCCGACGCACCCCTCCTCCTCCGGCAGCCAGCAACAGAACATTAACTGAAATAGAGACAAAACCTCCTCCCTCTCCTCCAGTGCCGGCTTTGTCCTTCACAGATTTTCCAAGTTGAGGTGCAGTCTGGCTTGTACTTTGACCGCCTTCATCCTCCTTTGTCCTCCTCTTTGTCCCACCACGATATTTAGCACATTTCCATTATTCAGTGTGAACTTCTGTTCTTTAAATGCTCCCTTTCCACCATAATATGTTCCTGGATAGTCTCCATAATCGTATGAATGTGTTCCTCCCCGAGCGCCCCAGGCTTTGATGAGATGGCAGGTGGTCCGTGGAACTGTGAATGTCTGTATAGTGCCAAAGCGTCCTTTGCTCCCGTCGACGGTAAAATTAACTAGGTATAAAAAAGGTTAAAAGAATAGGATTGTGCAATTAATGCAATATCTGTCGATATAAGCGAATATAATATCCATGAACAATATAAATTGACATTAACTTGGTAAAAACAACAAGTTGGTCGGTCAATAAGTCCTTCTTTGCCTCTGCCTGTTTGTTCGCGAGGGTTACAGCTACAACGTATTTAATCACTAAGAGATTTAGGTTTAAAAGATTTCAAGGCAATCCGCTACATTTTGACGCTTGAAAAATTAAAAACAATAACTTTATTTTTTGCTTCCAATGTTTATGGTTTTTCTAATATTTGTAATTATCGCCTTTCACTCCTTTAGGTGACCATATGTGAAACTACTTGGACACCCTGAAACACGGGGGCCAAACCTGAAAAGGCCTAGGTAACATTTGCAAAAACATGTTTCGTAGAACACTATCTAGCAGTTGCACTTGAAAGATCTTATTGAAGTCTGCTTATGAGCAATTTCAAGTCTAACACGGCTTGTGCAGCCGCGATAGAACTTTTTGATCGAGTGCGAGCGGCCAAAATTCCTCAAACCACGAGCCTTTGTCTGTTTCAGCGACCTTTTTCGCCGTTTCATGTAGAATTTCTTCTCAGCCAGACAATTTTTCTTGGACTTTCGTCTGGTTTTACACGCAAACCGATTGCAAAGATCTTCACGCGCGATCGAAATCAGGAGATTGTTACGCGATTGAAATTGAAGAGCTACCGTTCATAAGTTGTTTCGCCGCCGCGTCTCTAATTCGTGTTGACAGGTTCTAGTTGGCCATGAACACTGGCGGGCTGAATAATTAGTGCAAAACAAAAAAAAATGAAACAAAAAAGGCCTCCGAAGGTCTACCATATCCTTACTTTGGGTAGGACATACCCAATTTTATAATTTATGTAATACAGTCATGGGTAAATGAGAAAATAACATGATATTCACCGCTATATATGATGGTTGTGTTGAGGATTTCAGTGAAAGGAAACAAACAATGCAGAACAAATCATTTGCTTTAGATCTACATCACAGGAATTAAAAATGTAATATTAATATCAACTACAAGAACAACAAAAACTTCGGTTTTGTTACCCTCTCTTTCCATATCGCAAGAAACAAGAACTGTTTTTCCCGTTATGATGGAATAAAGCCAGTACTCGCCGCTGGTCGCTTCTCCCTCTTCGCTTCGCTTTATCTCTTCACATGCTTCCGCTGGAAATTCCGGAATAGAACCGAGAGGAACTGTGGTCGAAAAATGTTTTCTTCAAGGAACAACTATAATTTCCATTTACCCACTGAAAATAAAACTAAATCTATGTATGTACTCAAGAGAAAGAAAGTTTGACGTCATGAACTTCTGATTGCGGGATCCGTGCGCCCGTCCATCCGTTCAAACTCATTTGCTTCACCTAGTACAGTGCGCACGTGAAAGAGAACAAAATATTCATTTTTGCTTACTGTGGCTCTCGATGGAAAAAGGCTTCCGGGTTGGAAAGTATCATCTCACTTAATTGTGGAAAGTACTTCAAAGTATAAATTTGGACCAATTTCATGTCGTTCACCTATGGTCTTTCTTTTTTAAAGAGCCATCATTGTTCAGATGGGTTTCACCTCATTGCTGAGGGGTTTCTATGGTTTAACTCACCTCTTTTCTTCAGTATTACTTTTAACATAATATCTCTCAGAATTTGGCACAAAGTTCTCTGGTCTGGCCTCCTTAGTCCGGTTATTTAGTTCACATAGTTCCTCAGAAATGACGTAGTTGAAGCTGTGACATCTGAAATCATCGTTACACGCCTGATTACATTCAGCTGCAATCGATGATTTTATCGTTTTGAAGGTGTGTCTTCGAAGCATCATACCCAAAATGGCATGCTTATCCTTTTTGCAATCTTGAACGAAAATTTTATCAAAGTAGCACACTGCAATCATAATACAGAACCGCATCGTCATTGCCTCTGGTTCGTCTCTCCTTTAAGATAAATTTGGAAAAAGAAATAATGTGATAAATTTGGGTTGAAGAAAGCGCTATAATTTAAATCAAAATTACGGTAGTTTTTTGTCGATTTTTGTTAGCTATGCTCCTGAGATTAAAGAAAAAAAGACAGGACGGAAAATGATTCATGAAATTCCGATTTGAATGTATAGTTTTGTTTGTTGTACAACCAACTAAGTCTAAAATCTTACAAATTTATCGTACTATTTATGTGCGTTTATACATGTTTAGATGTGAGAAACTCCAATATTCTTCAAAATGGCCTAAGAAATATAAAAAAGATACTGACAAAATTTAACGTTTGAACAGAGAAAGAACAAATATTGGCAGTCTTTTTGCTTCTATTTAACAGGTCAAGGTCTCGTTCGCTTACAGAATTAACGAGACTAATCATTCCACCAACTAAGATCGTCCTTGTACCTACATGAGTCCTTAGGTGTACAATCTGAACCTGGATCCTTACATCTCCTACGCATACCTTGTTTTATTGTCCTACAGAGATTAGATCATCCTTTCTCAGAAAAGCTCAAGTTTAACTTCGTTTAGGGAATCATTCCACAGGCCTACCACTTTGTTTTCAATTTACCAATTCGTTATTACCTTGGGGTAAATTACAATCCTAATTACTTTTATGTTATACAAACAGTGGTTTGAGTTGTTAGACTTTATGTTTTACAGTTTTAAAGGTGTCAAGGATTTGAACATTGAGACAACGGCCAGCATAACAAAAATAAGAGTATTTTGCGAGAAAGAGGTGTTAATCAGCAGATCTTAAGAGGTAGAATTATTTAGACGATGTAACTTCGATCTCTGTTGATTAAAATTAGAATATAAAATTGTAAGGGCCTGTTCCCCATTTTATTGATGTACAGGATTCCGTTGACTTTCAAGGAAAAGCTACGGTTTTCAGGTCAAGTCCAATCAATTAGAATATCTTATAACAGACAGTAGATCAGTACTTATAAGAAGGCTTTGATAAGGAAATTTTCAATTCAATACTGTTCACCCAAATAATGCTGCTAATTAACCACTTAGGAAATTGCTTTATTGTCTAATGTTCGACTAAAACATGAACTGCATTTTCCTGAGATGTTGAGAAGTTTTTTTTTAATTCCTGCGTCTTGGAAAAATAGCAAATAAGGATATCTACGGAAAGCTCTTGGCTTTTGTAAATGAAACCCACTTTGAATGCCTGCATTTTCACGGTTTTAATTTTAGTACAGTGTTCTTTTTTCTGTCAGTTTAAATCTTGTGAAAACTTCCAATTCACGTGACGCCTTTAATCAGCGTTTCTCCTTTGCAACTCGGCCACAAGCGCCGGCCCATTCCATCTAAAGTTACTGCAGTTAATACAGACGCATGTTCAAAGGGCAATTTTTAAACGTTGAAGTCTGGTAAAGCAGCTGAACTTTTTTTTGCAATTAATTGTCAGAAGAATAATTTTTCAATGTCTGTACATGAAATCGGCTCCGAATCTTTGCGGCAAGCGCTGATTTACTCCTGCCTAGTGATAGTGACAGTTACAGTTTTCGCTGCCTTCATAAACCCATCTTGAATAAAAAATTTATATCAAATTTTTCACAGCAAGTTGATCACTTATTAATAAACCTCCTTATCAGGCTGCACCTAATTTCCCAAGGAGGTCTCATACTAACCTAATGCCGAAAAATTGCTTCGGTAAATCGTGGCACATCATTTTCTATCTGTAATTTCATAAACCCATCTGGACGATGGAAAAAAATGAAAAGAGTTTGATTTAAATGGGAGGTTCGTCGAATTCGGCCGTCCTTTAATTTACACTCTCCCTGTTGTTCATATGTAGCTGACACCGGATGCCTTAGATTTTACTATTGATGGTTTTCACTGTCATCCAATCGAAATCTAAAAGCAAAACTACATACAGGATGCCCGACGCTAAGAGAGTGAGCTACTGTACATTATTAATAAATAAACAATCATGAATAACAATCTGCTCAAGTATCAGGTCTGCAGGAGTTTCCAAAATGTTTGACATAAATTTTAAGAGCTCAGTATGAAGATGTCAAGTCGGTGCACTGTAAAATGAAAAGAGCCAAATTGACCCCAAAAGCCAAATTGGCCCCAATTTCTCGAGGGCCAGTTTGGCCCATCAAGGTTCGTTTTGGACTATTTGAGCCAAAACGGGCGTGACAAGTACCATTTCGACCCCTCCAAAATCTGAATTGGCCCCTATGAATTCTACTTTGGAACTTTTTCTCAATTTGGCCCTTCCAAGAGCCAAGTAGGATTGACCAATTTGGCCCCAACGAGGTGCAATTTTTGAAAAAAAAAAGAAAATATAAAAATAATTTTCTTTTTTCGACCATATTTCGTTCCCTATACTATTCCTTATAAAGTGTTCAAATTTTCAACGGTTCCTCTCGTAACTGAACACCGAGTCACACAACGAATTAATCGTTGGCTTTTTCTCGAGACGTGAGCGTGAGCTGGCTGTGATGGCATTAGTCGAACCTAGACCACGTGCGTCGGAAACAATAATGAATTATAGCAGCGAATTCGTCACTGAAGAGGCTGTTTCTTGGCTACAGTCGCATGGAATGAGACTTAAGAAAGGAAAGGTAGGCAAAAGAAATTTCTTAACAACGTATTTTACTGCAACTTTACATTCACAAACTTGACCGCTCCATTGATCTTTGTTCGTATCTTATCTTGCAGAAAAAGACGGTTGCGATGGCCAAGATCTCCTTGCCATCGCCCAAGATGCAGACGTACCAAGGCACTACATCCCTATTATAAAAGAGCGTCTAAAGCTCAAGAAATTGATTGCAATGAACGCTGAACCTAGAGATGACACGAGTTCTTCGTCGGTACGATAATTAATTTTCCCACCAGAGAATTTGACGCATGAATGGTTCGCCTCTTCTCCCGAGTCTTGTTGAGTCTCAGCGGTTTCGCAACTAAAGTCACGTGATCAAATTTTGGCGCCGAGAGATAGAGACGGTTACAGTTCGAATACTGCATTTGCACAAGATGGATTTAACTTATTTCAAGATTCTCTGATTTTAGGATCTCTCACTCTGAATTCTTAATCTTTTTCTTGAAAAGATGAACTGATATTTTTATGTCTATGTCTTTGTTTGCATCCACTTAAGCTGATTTTTTGGCTCTCACTCTTTCAGCGTGCAGAATCAAGTCCTTCGAGTAAGACGGTTCAAACGTCGATTGATGATTCAGATAACATCAGCGATTATGAAAATTTAGAGGTGACATTGGCACCGAAAGAAAAGGGTAAATCGCCCAAGGATCTCTGTTTTACGGACGAGGCGACAGAACTGAGCACTGTCTAAGTAAGTTCTTGTATATTAAACTTAGCAGGATGGTGAAGAGTACATTATCGATTACTTTCTTTCGATTATATCCTAAAGGAAAACACACAAGGTGCCAGTTGGTCAGTTAAAGATGACAAATCTCGGGGATTGCACCTACAAAAATGGCGAGATTTGCTTTATTTTTATTGAAATATATTAGATATGTATTTACTTGCACCATGCATAAAACAAAGTAAACCCAATTTTTAAATCTGGTAAATTAAAAAATTAGTGAATTGATAGGATGTTATCAGACAGTTTAATTTTTTTGAAAACAAATATTTACCTACAGGTTCCTCCTGAATGGCTTTCAAAATTCCAACTACCATCGAGGGTAAGAAACTTTTCTTTGTTTTGTTTTTTAAGTCTACAAGCAATCCTTATTTATTCATGAATACTGAACTAAAACTGAAGTGCATAGAGGTATGATTTCTTTTCTTGATAAGTACATATACAGTTTGGTGAAAATACATCATTGATGATCACCATTATTGTGTTTTTACTTCTTATGCACAGTTTGCTTACAAATATTTTGCAACTTTGTAGTTGCAAAAATTTACTGTTCTCCAACAACAAATTAATTTGCTCATTTGTTTGTTTTTTTGTACAGTTCTCTGCCTCAGTAGAGTTGGATACCCAGAAGGGATATCTCATCAGCAGCCTAAAGTACTCTGAGCAACAGTGGATTGCAAAAAAAAATTATTGCAGAGTATCCTTGTATGGTTAGCAGGATACTAGACTAAGTTGACTTGGAAACTGAATGGATTGGTATGGTCTAAAAATCTATTGCTTCACCTCTTCTGCTTGCAGTGAAGAGAGACAATTTTGTGGTGCTGAATCTCTTGCCTTAAAATAAAAAGTTGCAAAATAATCACTCTCACCTTTTAAGTTCATGACCTTTGTTCTTGTGTGTTTGTCATCACATGCATTTAATGAAGTTGTGACCATTTTGGAGGTACAAGTCCAAAAAACTGCTACTTTGGTACTAAGATGAACAGCTAAAATTTCTGAGCCCATTTGCCAATGAAGTCCAGATACAAAGGTTCAAGTACTTTGGGGTTGTATTAATTTTGCCTTTTTGTTTAGTTTTTTTGATTTTGCAATTTTTTAAAATATTCCTGTTGTCAAACCATTAGATAAATATTGGACATAGAATAGCTGATTTTTTTCAGATATTTTGGGAGTCATACATTAGTTTTTCAAGTCTTGAATGGGAGACAAATTACACACATTGAGCTAAACTTCCACTTCCATTTCTGGTGTTTTAGCTTATAGTTTTAGAAAAACAATATATATATATATATATATATGTAAATGTGGGGGTAGAGTCTACCTTGGCATAAAGTGCTCAATGCTGTGGTAGTAGAGCTAAGTATACATAAGTTAAAGAATTAAAGAGGACACATCAATTCTCTGTGACTCTGAATTTCGCACCTAAGCGCTTGTCAGACAGAACTTTTCTGTCTGACAAGCACTTAGGCACAAAACTCAGTCACAGAGAATTGATGCGTCCTCTTTAATTCTTTAACTTAAGTGTGTATATATATATATATATTCTTCTTTTTTTCTGGCTACAGGCACTTTTTGCACTTTGGCTTGATTTTAATGTGGTTGTAAAACTT